CTCTCTCTCTCTCTCTCTCTCTCTCTCTCTCTCTCTCTCTCTCTCTCTCTCTCTGTGTGTGTGTGTGTGTGTGTGTGTCAGTGGTGGGTTTCAAAAAATTTTGGAACCTCTTCTGTAGGTGTGGCCTGCTTCCCGGGTCCACTGGTGGAACCTCTTCTAACCGGTTCGGTAGATTTGACGAACCGGTTCTACCGAAGTGGTGCGAACTGGTAGGAACCCACCTCTGGAGCACACCCACCTTCTGCGCATGTGCACAAAGTTGCGCATTACATCAGGGTGGGTGGGCGGAGCCTCCCGCAGCCACCACTACTGGTTCACCCGAATCGGAGAGAACCAGCTGAATTCCATCTCTGGATAGTACTTTTTCAGACTAACAAATTTTAATGAAAAGGCATAAGTTCCCATGAACGACAACTCGCATCATACAATGGAGAAACCAGCCTGATGTAGAATTTAAACTGAAATGTGACCGACAAGGAGAGAAAGACAAGGTGTTATGCATGAGAGACAGATTATAACCTGTTAAAAGAACTTGCACTAATGGATTAAATAGCTATTGTCTTTGTTCAGACTTCTAGAGATTACTTTGATGCACATATGTTCCACCATCTCTTGCTCAACGGTGCTAGCAAAATTTGTGAAAATAAACTTCACATGGGTCTACATGTAAATATACTATAGGCCTGCCACTCAAGAGTATGAGAAAATACAATGTCATTGCCAAATATGGGTTATAGCTAATGGTGTGCTAGAGCTGGCTTTTACTGGCTTGCAAAAGCTAATTGTTAAACCTTTGGAAATTTTGTGAGCTGGTTGTGAGTAGAAGTAAGCTCTAACATCTAGTGGTGTGGCAGTGCCAATGGAGCCAGCAGAACCAACTGTGAAACATTTATCAGCACACTACTGGTTGTAGCTTATTAATATAAAGTGGCTTGAACTACAGGTGGTAGCCAGTGGTATTGTATTTTCCGCTTCTTCTTACAACATGTCATGCAGTGGTGGGATTCAAATAGTTTAACAACCAGTTCTCTGCCCTAATGACCAGCTGGGTAGGCGTGGCTGGCTGGTCATGTGATTGGGTGGGCGTAACCAAGTTGACGTTACTCACATCGATGGGCGCTTCGCCTTGCCCGGCCTCTTGTGACCATGGGGATCCTGCAATGGTCGTAAGTGTGAAAAATGGTCATGCCAATGAAATTGGGATGGTCCCGATTAAGACAGTTAAATCCCACTGGCCTAGGACTCTGATTAATCTGGATTAATCCAGTAAAGAGATTAATAAATCTAAAATCCCTGGAGACGTTTGGATAAAGTGGAAGGATAGACAGAAGCAAAAACAGATGGCCTCACCTCTCCTACTCCTAATATGTAACTATTGCCTTTTGTCCTCTTAGGAAATGTAGGTCACAATTTCTAAAACCCTGGAGCACTGTATCTGATACCATGGGGAAGTGGGATGAAGGGGAAGTGTTCCAGCCAACCTGAGACTGCCAGCCCTTTTGAAGAGATTTTACAGTATCCGTCCCTTGGAGTGGGGAGACAATGGATATTTTACANAACCTAACCCTAACCCTAACCCTAACCCTAACCCTTACCTTAACTTAAATCACGCTTTTGTGGGCGCGGTTTTGTCGGCGCAGTGTTGTGGGTATGTTTATGACATTGCGGTGTTCTCACCAAGGTTTCGTCGGCGTGCTTTTGTCGTGCGCGCATTTGTCGGGTCACGAACTTTACTTCACTCAAACTGTGTGGTTGTGCTTTTTCTATTTCTATCTCCATTGTTGAATATCATGTAGCTGAAATAGCATCATTCATATCTGAGAGGGAGACATTAGCAAAGGACTTTGGGACATCCCAAAGTTTACAGGAGTGCCAGAAAATTGAAAAGAGAAGAATAAGAATGGTGGGAGGGGCAAAACATCCAACCTTAGTTCAACGGAAACTGAGTTTGTTCAGTGGCTATGCCGTGTGGGCTGATTATTGGAGGACACCTGGAAAATTTAAGGAGCATCCTTCAAACAACCATGGCTAGTTGGTTGATGAGATATCTGGATAATATGACTTTTGACATGAGGTACTTCTTATTTCATCTACTGTGAACAATGAAGCTGTGCTGCTTTTCTCACTGAGAAAATGCCACCATTGTCTTTCTGAAAAACTTGCGCAAAAAAATTATGCAGTGACCATAAACATGTATCTTCTTATTCCAGGTACCAATCATCATACCAATCATTTTTCTGATGATATCGATCTACCTGGTACTGACACCCATCATTGACCAGCCACAGGTCGAGTTCTTCTATGTTATACTCTTCATCCTCAGTGGTATCATATTTTACTTCCCCCTGGTTCATTACAAGTATTGCCCTGCATGCCTACGGAAATTAACTATTTATATGCAGCTTTTAATGGAAGTTGCAGCAACTGAAAAGGACACGAAGTGAATGAATATTCATAAAGCCGCTTTGACAAATGTTCTAATTATCCGTACAGTTCTGATCTGTAGAGAAATGAGGGTACAGCTTTTCCTGATCATGTTTCAGAAACATTTTGAAACCGGATCACAATTGTTCCTACCCCTATCTAGGTAGTAATTGGGGGGAGGGGGAGAAAGAGAGGAAGCTACCAGAATGCCCCTTTTTATATTTATTGTCTGTTTTGCTTTTTAAATTTCTCTTTCTCCATTTTTTTTATACATACATACACATTTTTTTCTTTTTTCTTTTTTGTGGCTTGAATATCTTACTTTAACCAATAAAAAAGAAAAGAGGTTTAAAAAACGGTTCCACCACAAAATCGCAGAGGACAAAATCGCGCTCGACGAAAGCGCGCATTTGATGTCATCACAGCGCGACGAAAACATCACGCTGTGATCG